TAGACACTATTATAATTTATCTTCCTTGACATACAGTATAATTTAGGAAGAAATTGTTGTGTGACATGTACATGTACTAGATAGGCTTTAAAAGGTCCCTTTCAACTCAAACTAATCTATCATCCTGTGTAGAAGAGAGAAGGAAAAAAGACCAAGAATGGACAGTCAGGTATCAAACATTTCTTAGTACTTTGTGTATGTCCTGACAGCAGAGAGACATTGGTAAAATAAAAATAATATGTAGCAATAGCATATATTCAATAAAAGCATATAGAAGGGTCTGTATTAATTATTAATATATTATATGTATGTGTGTGTGTGTGTATATATATATATATGTATGTGTGTATATGTGTGTATATGTGTATATATATGTATATATATATATATATATATATATATATATACATATAATCAGAAAAACTGCCAGGGGAAAAAAACCCCAAACCAACAAAAATCTCCAAACCAGACCAAAAAACCACAAGGAAGAACTGCAAAGGGGAAGAAGATTAGTTGAAATAATTTAGAATTGTAGTTTGTGTAGACAGAGTCACTGCAATGCAGTATCAAATCATCAAATTAATAGCAATTATCCAAAACCAACTTCAACTCACAATGTATTGGGAAAGTCATGTGTTTTCCCAAGTTTTGAGGAATATATAAATTAAGATATGGCATAATGGTTTGTTATTTGTCATAAGATGTATTTCAAGAGGTTAGTCATACTGAATTTACTGTTTCTTTCTTTTCTGTTTTTTGGGTGACTGCAACTAGACATTTTAGAAGGCTACTCTTGTTTATTATAGAAACATAAATAATGAAACTGTGCAATGATAAGTATCCTGGATGTCTGACAGCAGTGGTTTCATGCACACCGAAGGAGAAAAGTCTTACAACACCGGGGGCAAGTCAGAGAATTTATTGATTACTGGAAGTCAGTATCTGGCAAAATAGTTACTGCAGGGATACTTTGGGTAGTGAGGCACTAAAAGAGAGGAAGGTGTTTGAACATGGTGCAACTATGGCTAAAGAATAATGATGCAAACATTTTCAGCTTCAGGCTTCTGAAGGATGTTCATTATCCTCCAAGTCAGGTTTCTTAACAAATTGCCACAGACATGAGACAGTTTAAAAAACTCTGTTTCTCTTTTTTTCTCTACTTAATCTTACTCCCAGCTTCTGCCCGCTTACTCTACCATGCCTTTTCATCTTGCTGTGTTTAAAAAAGTGAAACATTGTTGTCCTTTGCTCTTGCTTGAAGAGACTAAAGAAAAGGAATTTACTGGCTTAAGGTGCCAATTATCTCAGTCCTGTCAGATGATGCATATACATGGACTGGCGTTCATTGCTCCAGAGTACAGAGCTGCCTCTTTATTCATGTTACAAGAAGGACAGAAGGACAGATACTGAAATTTTGTACTCTCAAAGATAGACCAGAACTTGATTTGGTAGGTGCATACTGTTTTTAAGTAACAGTTGTAACTGGCCTGTTGTAACTGGCCTGTAGGCAGCAGGAGACAGATTGCCATACAGAGCTAACGGGTCCAAGAGTTGTAGATTCAGGATGGAAACTTGAAATAGGTATTACTGCTGCATTGTAGCACTTAAGTTTTTGGCTTGATGCCTGTGTTCATGGTTCTTGAAGAGTGTTACCCTTAATTGGGTTGTGTGACACTTAGTGTGTCTAGCATTTTTGCTACACTCTTGATTGCTGCATTAGGTAATATTTAATTTAAAGGAATCAAAACTCATTATTGGTATCCAAAACTCGATATATACTTTCAAGAATAAGAGAAGTACATAACTAAAGAAGAAGGGATCAAAACCATCATAGACTAAATGGAACATGAAAGGGGTCAACGTATGCTTTCTTCAAAGTATTTTACCATTGTAGTAAGAATCCCTGGGTTTTCTGAATACTCTAGAAACCATTTTCTGAACAGCTTAATCTTCTTTCCCATTGCAATATATAAAAAGTGTCTTAAGTGTAATAGATCAAGGGGGAATAGGAGAAGAAAACAAGGATAAAACAGGAAGGACTGACTACAGTTTTGTGGGTTTTTCCATAGTTCACAATAGCACTTCATAATTTCATTTTATTGTACTTTCATTAACTTTGTCTTTGCGTTTAGTTGGATATTTCTGGAGTGTATCTTATTCTCATTTCATTTTTTCAATTAAAAACCACTGCCTTCTACTAAACCACTTGCATGGTCTTTATCTTATATATATGCCTTTGAAAGTAAATAAAGTGTGCATTTCTTTTGAACTTTCTGTGAAGGTTTTCTTGACATAATGGAAGTGCACAAAGTTTAATAAAGTAGTAAAAATAGTGCATTCAGTAATTCAATCAAAATGTTTTATCTTTGATGTCGTTTGATATCTTTGATGTTGTGGTGTAATTATTTTGCTGCATCTTGTGTCCCTCCCCCTCACGTTTGTGAAAACAGAAATGTATAATGTGTCTATGTTACAGATAATTCAATATAGACAAATATAATTTGTCAGATGACAAAAAAGTATTGGTCAAGTTTAGGTGAAATTTTCCACTTTGATCCATGGAAATTTTATAACATGAACTGCAAAGGCATATTGTGTTTAATGTATTTAAATATTTAGTAAAGATTTTCCTGATTGCTGTCGTTCTCTCTGTCAGTATTCTTTTAGCATTCAGCATGCAGAATGATTTTTGTTTCCTTTATTATTCCATCATACAATATCCAAATATGACATATTGAATGTCATACAGAGTGTGACATTCAATAGTAGAAACAGATTAAATGTGCTAGTGTCTGGAGAAGAGCAAGAGTCAGAGGCTTCTAGCTGAATCAAGTTGTCTTGATTTCAGTCTTGCTTTGTGAGATTGTCTTATGCATGTGATAAGTTTGATAATTTGTGTGAACATGACCAACACTATACACGATGTTTCTTGTAGAAGCGAGGAGTGTGGACACAGTAATTTGTCAAGGAAAGGGCTTGAGGAACAGAAAAATACAGAAAGCTGTTGAAAAGAAATGTTCATTATGAGATCAGTGATTCAGAGGGCAAATACGGAAAGATAATTGAAAAGATACTGGCCACGAGATGAATGAATTTAGGAGGACAATACAGGAAGTCAAATTCAAAGGAAAGCAAAGTAGTGTAGAATATTGACAGTACTGCAGTATTGACTGAAGTTTTCACTTTTTGATAGTAATGCTAATAGAAAAAATATTTTCATCTCATTTTTCAAATCTTACTTATACATAGACCCTGTCACACATTGTGTCATTCAGAGTAATAAACATCAGATTTGACCTTTAACAAAGGTCAAATGTAAAAAAAAGATGTGTTTTAGGATTATTAAAAAAATGTTTATTTTTTTAAAAAATAAATTCCTGGATTTAGGAGCTGGGTGTTGGGCTTTCTAAAACGTTTGCCTGTTCAGCAGTCAGTTGTTGTGTTTCAGCCTTACTGGGTATCATGTAACCAATTGCTTTTGCTCTAGGGAGCTGGGAAGTTTTTCAGGAATAACTCACAATGGCTGCAGATTTCACTGGAATTCGCTCCTGCAGTTCTTGCAATAATTTTTTTTACAGTAACTTTTTCTGCCATGAGTTAAAAAAACCCCACCTTTAAACAACTTATTTAAGTAGAAGAAGACATGCTCTTTGTATATTTTTGGTAGTATTTTGATGTTGTTCTTTTGGGCGGTGCAGTGTACCTAAAATTTTATGCTTCCAGAACTAAATATTGCCTTTTGTGCATTTATATGCAATTAGTAATGCTTCTAATGCTAAATGTGGTTCTTTGCAAAGACAAGCGATTTTATGACTTTCAGTGTGTTTACAACATTTGGCTTTTTTCCCAAAGATATTAAAAATCTTCTGTGTTTGAACAGATGTGTTAACCAAAGTATTATTGCCTTATATACTTCAGTCTTGTTTAATGAGAGGTAGATTGATGCACATTTATGGGGGTTTAACATAACTTTAAGGCAGGCATTTACATTACAAAATACATTTACAATATGAATGTATTCTATTCAAGTTATACTTTCTTGAATTAAATTATACAGCCCTGGTTTCCTAACAGAGTGAAAAATGGGCTGTCTTATCATAGTGAGATCAGAATACTGTAAGTATTTTTCATGCAGAAAATCCAAAAAATAAATATTTTTTAAACTATGGTTGCTTTCTTCTTTGACAATACATTTTCCAAGTGAAAAAGTTAACAAATGTATATAGCACCAGCAAGAGAACTGTAGAATATTTATGCTGTAGATAATGTCTACTAATTCTTAATTTTGTTACTAATGTTATACCATTATTGGGAGAATAGGGTTTTTATCTTAATTGGGGTGGGGTTTCAGTGTTGTGTGGAGTAACATAATGGTGAAGTAAAATTTTGGTCTTTGGAGCTGTACATTTGTCTTACAGTGAAGTGTATGCCTGTAGGTTCTGTAATATTAACATTTCTCTCTGTATGCTAGCTTGAGTTTAGTTACCAAAGTAGTGGAGTGAGAACACATTTAAGATCCTAAAGCTCAAGAACATTGTGAACAGCCCATGAAAATAAAGGAAATGGACATGGATCAAGTAGAAAAACATTGAGAAGAAACAGTGTAGATCTGAAACCAGATTTTGAACAGCAGATGACAAGGTGTGAATGCAATTTGTGATTTAATCTCTGAAGTAGTGTTTGTAGGGAGACTGAGGATATCACTAAGCAGATGTGTTTTGGCAAAGGGGAAATTTTGGTGCGAATTTTTGAGAATTTCAGAAACGTAAGTCAGGTTTAAATAGGATCATATTTTTTGCAAAATGTCAGAGAACCAAGACTTACTTCAATGTCCCTGGAATTTTGTGACTGAGCAGGGAATCTGCATTTCAGCTCTAAATCCCAATCCTAGTGTTCAGTCTGGTAATGCTAGTTACAAGGGGCAGAATTGGGTTCAGTTGGGTGCATTGTTACATCAGAGTCACAGCTGTTCTAATGACTTCAATGTCTCCTTTTACTAGAAAAATTATGAAGTTCCAGAAGACAATACTTCAGAGAAGAAAGTTGTTAAGGAAAGGCAAGAAATGTTGAAGAACAGTAAGCATCATCTGTACGTTACACATCCTGTGACCCAGAGAAGCAAAAAAGTACACAGAGTAGGTTCAGCCACCTTCTTGATTGGAAGGACACCCAAAGGAATACGCAGGTGAGACTGTTTTAGTGAGTTGGAAGTAAAATTCTAAGGGTGAAACAAACTTTTTGAGTAGTAGCATTTGTCTTTGTTTCAACCCTGCTCAGGCAATACTGTTATTTTCTATGGCAACAGTGGAATTAATGGGAAACTTCGACTCACACTACTCTATGAGTACTGTAATTGATTAATAAAATTAATTGAATCCACAAATTACTTGAATGTGTTGATACAGTGGTCATATATTACATAACTCTGTAGATGTCATCACTATGAGTGTTCATATTACATGCATCATGGGCTATACAAAACGCTGTTTAAACTGTATAGAAAGGAGGCATTTTATAACATTAGCTTCTGACTGCCTACTGATTCTGCCCAGATCTCATCACTTGCATTGAATGGCTGTTTAAAAAAATGGGCTTCATGTTTCTTTTTTAGCATGGGGCTCAGTATTTTTCAATATCTCTTTTAATGCTTCCTCCCCCCCGTTATTTTTGGAGGGATAATAATTTTTTGTTTTCTGTTTTCCCAAATGATTGCTGTTATTAATATGAATATTAATTTCCATTGTTACGTAGATAGAAATTCCATAAAAATAGTCTAGTGGTTTGTGGAAATAGAAAGTGGAATGCTGTAGCTAGCTAAGCAAACCTACAGAACAGGTATTTGGTATATATTTTCAATTTGCCTTGAGAGAAGTAAATTACTATATGAAAGTTGGTATCTGGTAATGCCTGTAAGCATTCAGAAGCTGTCATATCTGCTAGCTGGCTTCAGTTATCTGTACTGTTATTGTCAAAGTGCCAGTAATTGTCAGGTGTTTTTACTGTTATAGACACTGAAAATTATAAATATTTATTATGCAGGTAAAGGACAACCCTTCATTCTAAAAATGTTCAAAATCGTAATTAGTTACGAAAAATCTCGAGGTAAAATTTTCAAAGGCAGTGAAGTGACTAAGGCTGTTATTCCAAGATCCTAAAGCCATATCTAGCAAAAAGCTGAAACAATTCACTCCTGAGCATTGAGCAGGTTATTTGTTAGCACCTGGCATGCAGTTAGACTTTGTAGTACATGTGGATGTGCCACAGAGTGAATGAGGATGATTACATGCCTCAGTTTGTTGTAATTGTAGGGCAGAGTGGGAAGCTGCCTGCAGTCACCACAATCAAGTGATTGGAGCTATCCAGTCAAGTGGTATTTGAGGTAAACAGGGCTAAATCTTACTGCATTTGGGAGCCCTCATAACAGGAAAGGTGACATGTTTCATATCTTTTCTCCAACTTGGGATTGTTGATCACTCGACTAGAGTGGTCTATTTTAATTAGAGCTTGGCTTTTTAGCAGAAACAAATATTCCATAATTCACCGGGTAGGATGATGTGGACAATGTCTCCTGCGCATACGTTTATCCAATTTTTATTTAGCAAGTCTTTTAAAGGACCTGGAACAACTATTTCCTCCCCATTTCCCCCACCCCCTTGTTAAGGGTGTCAGCATAACACATTTTTCCTTCTTGATAATTACAGGAGACAATTTGAGCAAATGGTGTCTCACTTTAATATGGGATCAGTGGAGTACCTTGCAGAATACATTGCAAAAGCTACATCAGAAACCAGGCAGAAAATGTTGAAGGAATTCTATGTTTCCAAGCATCCAGAGATGGAGTCTTTCTTCTCACTTGAAATACCAGCAGAAGCTTCACATAACTGTGAGGAAAGTGAACTAGGTACAACACGCTCCAGAAAAAGAAAATCCATTGTTAATTTTGGAAGATCTGAGTCTAGACCTTCATCAGCTAAAGGACTACTTCTGGGTGGAACTACAGAAACACAGACCCAGGAGGGCCATAAAGGAGAAGCAGAACAGCTTCACAAGGACTCCTACTTGCAAGATATGTTTGTTGATGCAAAATATAAACAATCACCTACTATTGCTGCTCAACATATCCAAAAAAGAAACAGTCAGGCATTCAAGGATTTTATGGCATCTGGTTCATTAAGCAGTAAATCAGAAATAATTGAGGTGCTGCCTGTAAAAGGTTGTGAAGGACAGCAAGATTCAGAAGAAATACAGATACCAAAGGAAAGATCCATGTCTCAGTCAGAAAATAGAGACAGAAAAGCTCAGATTTGCAAGAAAAATTCTTTTGTGGACTTAATTGGAGATACCTCTATTCTCGATGAAATCTTCAGAAATGATGGAAATGGGTCTAGAGGATCTCTAAGGGGATTCTCTTCAGGACAAGCAGAAAAATCAAAGGGGAGACCAAAAGATTTCTGGGATATGCTGAATGAACAGAATGAGGACACCTTCAAAAAGCTCACAGATATAGCAGTCATAGAGAAGCTTTGTGAAAGAGCCCCTCATTCCACAGTGTCAGAAGAGAGAGAAGTGTGTGAAAGTTCTCTTTGGAAAAGAAATGAAACTTTTTTGTGGAAAAAATACAGTGCAGATGATTGAGATGAACCAGCTACTGCTAAAGCTTGTAGTGTAGTAAAATGAAAGTTTTCTATGCAATTTGCACTATAACTATTTTATTTGAACTTTGACAGCATTATGCCACAAAATAAGGTAATTCCATGAAATTAAAGGTAAAATGGTGATTTTATATTTATAGTGATACAGAATTACATTGTACAAGTAATTATTTACTTGTAGTTATTTACAAGTGAAGATGTTTGCAATTTCATATGCAGTGTATAGTACATATATGCATAGTCATGCGTATGTACTGTATGTTGCAACCTGTGGTATATAATGATTTTATATTAAAATTTTTTAGAATTTTTTGAGTGCACTCTACTTTCTTTAATTCTGATTATATTCCTAGGCTCAACAGAAATGCTAAGTAATTTTTTCCCTTTACTTAAATTTGGACATCAGCAGTCATCTCAACACAATTTAGAAATAACAGGATTTGACAATGACACTGCATATATTTTCTGAGGTGCTGGAGACTGGAGGACTTCCTGAGAAAGGGATGATGTCTTTGTGTCTAGTAGCTTTTGATGGATTCCCATCCTCCATGATTTTGCTCAGTCTCTGAAGCTGTGGACCTTTGAAATATTCATAGTATCCTATATAAGTGAGTTTCTCAGCTTGGTTGATGTAAAGAACCACCAAGTTTTTTTATTTGATCTTTCTCATTAAACTATGTTAGGTGTCAAATTTCATCTCATTACACTTTGATCTCCCTTTTTCTATAGACTTCTGTCATGTCTTCTTCAGGGAATATGCAGCACAGTATATGTGTTGGAAACATGCAATCCGGTGTATATGTGGTAAGGAATTTCAACATTTTGATGGGTTATCATCTTACATGTAGAATGCTGGATGTAATAGAACTTCCAGATGAAAACTGTACTTCATAGAAGGGAAGGATGTAGGATACTCAGTGTCATATTTCATTTGCCAAGTAGTATGTCACATTTTTCAGTGCTACGGGACCATGTGAAGAGTACCTTGTAACACATAACTAGAAGAGAGCAGAGCTTCATGTTGCTCTGGAAACCTTAACCCTAATTTTTGATTTTTGTAAGCATCAGTATACATGTTTACATTCAATATACTTATAAACTGTTTTATGTGAAGGGTAAATGTTATGAAATTTTGAAACCCTGGACACTGAACCTGCACAGCAGCAGTCTGTGAATTGTGGTAGTTTTTGTGGTCTGGAAGACTGCCCACTGGAAAATAAGCTTAAATTTGATCTGGGGCAGCTTCTACTTTAGATCATGGGAAGCTGTTGTAGACTATACTCTGTCTCTGTTGTAACCATTGATTGTGAAATCTGACTTAACTACCTGAAACAGGGAGCTGAGTGTTTAACATAAATGTTAAGTATTAAAAGCTTTGGGTTTTACAGGTAGCTAACATGAGCAAGATTAATGTGTTCCCTAACTTTTTCTTACTCTGAGTCTATGCTGTTACCACTTTATTATACCAAATGGTATAATGGTCAGTTGCAACAGCTTTTCAAGAAGAAGTATGAACTAAGAAAGTAAAAGAAGAAGCTGTAAGCTCTTACACATTGGTACATTGGAATTATGTACAGCTAAAGAAAGCCAGCCTCAGCTAGGTAATATCTACACCCTCATTGATGTTAATAAATATGAGATAAATTAAGGCCTTTTGTTCATGGCATCAGTATTGATTTTCTTTACAGGCAGTGTTCTTATGCTTAGAGAGGCAAACTGCTTCTTAGGTTAGAAAGAGAAAGTTTGGTGGAATAAAAACTGTGGTCATCAAATACGTTAAAAAAGAGGAAGGGAATAACCCCATTGTGTCTTCAGCAAAAAGAGGAGTTAAGTGGCTTAAATTGCTCCAAAGATAGTTGAAGTTAGATAATAGAGAAAGAAACCCTGTAGGGAGTTAATAGTTTGTGTAGAGCCAGTATTTGACATAATCAAAAATAGGAGAGAAAAGTACCTGCTAGAAGTTGCATGGATAAAACTGTCCTTGTTTTAGGCCAGAAGGAGGGACTGATAACCTCCACCTAAGGGCCAGAAGGGGCTAGATAACCTTGTTTCATTTCAGCTGATATTGGTGTACTGAAGGAAGGCTTCACCACAGCACCGTGTTTGTTGGTCATGGTGTGAATCAGTAGGTGCTAGATAGAGCGAAATCTGATTGGGTTAGGTAAAATTTCTATTGATAACCAAGTACGAAGCTGTTATCATTTTCCTGAAGTAATCGGGAGATTATGTTTCTCTTACAAGGTGATGGTATGCATAAATCAAAACTTCCATAGATGTGCATGTTTTATTCACATGTATGCCAAATACTGACAGTATATTTGTGGAAATGTATTTGTTATATGCAATTGAATTGAGCTATAGGAACATATCTTGAGGTAAGATTTATGTCACTCTGAAAGTTTAAGGTGTTTTACAAGGAAATATCACCTAAGCCATAAATATTGCAACTTAGTGCCCTAGGGATCTGTCAGCAAAATATTTTGGTTGTCAAGACATCGGTATAATTTTAAAAAATGAATCTACACATTTAAAAAAGATGAATTTTACCTGTGTTTGAGGACATAGTCTTCAAATATTAAAACTGAAGAGATCAATTCTGTCTTCTTATAAATCTGTGGTTATAATTTTGTTTGGCTTTAAAAAAAAACTTACAGTGTGGAACTCATACTTCCATGTACAGGTTCCATGCAGGAAGCATGAACTACAGGAAAACTCTAACAACCTCCTGGCATAAGGAAATAGCTTCATGATAGTTGTCACCTGATCTGACTAGAAATCATCCAGGAGATGGAGTGTCATTGCTTTCATGTGGAAATGACTTGGTAGGTTTTACTATTCTTGATGGCAGTTCCCTTTTTTTTTACTCACTGGTGTTCCTATGGGTCTGACTGTGGGTCCCTGACTTTGCAGGTGGTACCAGTGCTTCCAGTATTGCCTTCAATAGAAATTCTTTGACTGGAAAAAAAAACAGGTTGCCAGTGAAATAGTAAAAAAAATGGCCCTGACTATGCTAACAAATGCAGCTATCCCAACAACAACCTTACAAGACTCAGTGTGTTCTTAAAGACGCTGTGTGTTCTGAGTCTGATTTGCAGTGTAGTTTGGATCGTAAGTTGTTTTGCAACTGGGGCTATACTTAGAACTGCATTTGACAGTAGCTGTGTGGTACTGTGGTTCCATATTTGATCTGGGGGAGGGAGACTGAATAATTTCAGGTAATAAATATGTTTGAGAAAGTCAGGGTGTGGATGCAAGCATTTGTCAACATATTAAGACAGTTTGAAAGGATACATTTGCTTAGCTTTAGCAGGTCATGACTGAGCACCAGAAGGCAGACTGATGCCAGTGCCATGACTTCAGTACAGGGAGTAAAAACCAGCATTACAAAGAGGAAAGGGTGATTGGTAATAACATAACCAGAGTATCACAAGGTAATTCAAAGGTGATAATACAGTTACTATGTAAGAAAAAATTACTTGAGTTACTTCCTTACATGTCTTAACTGCAGAAGGAGGAGAGGATTTTGTTCTTCCAAGGAAGCATTAAACTGCTTAGATATTTTTCTATTCCTGCAGTGTCCTGCATATCTTACTCACTGCATACCTTCCAGCTTATGCAACAAATGATGTAATACTGTTACACGTTATCTCTCCTCGTGTTTGCGCATTCCCCGATTCAGTACATCTTGACTTGGTCCATTCTATAAAAAATGGGTAATGACCGCTTAAGTAGATACCATGTCAGAATCTACCCTCCTTATGAGGGTACCTGAAAAGCAGATAATTGGCTAGGGATGACTAAGGAGATGCAATTTCTTTTGTTGAAACTGGATGTCTAGATTGCAGATGAGAAAAGTAGGCAGTGATTCAGAGCATTTAAGAGACATGTCTCTTGTCCTGTAGATCATATGTGGGTCATAGCAGTGTCCTTGTAAGTCTATATCTCACAAGGACAAGTGTGTAATTCTGGCAGCTAATTCTGAAAGAGGAAGAAAGTGTATCTAAGTGGATGACTGGAGGGCTTCAGAGTTGTTTGCTTGGCATCCTAACCTTTGTTTAGTTGGCATCAGAAAGCTAAATTTCCTTTTAAAGACCAAGTGAAGACTGTACTCTGAAACAAAAGATGTAATTGAATGTAAGCATGACGTATATACATGATACTTGAGGACAGATTGTTCTAGTTGTTCTCTGAGGTTTGCCTGAGCTGAGAGGATGGAATTGAGTGGTCAGAACCTGACCTAGTGTCTGTGTCAACACACAGTATGACTGAATTGAGACTGTAGACACAACTTGCACAAGCTGGAGCATAAGCAGGCCCACTGCACTAAAGCATTGTTTTCTGAAAATACGTAGAGACAGCTTAATTATGTTACAATTTGCATTGGTCCATTGTAGCATGTCACAATGGCTGAATGTTATTTGTATATTTAATAGCAGCATTCTCAGTCCCTAACACTGTACCCGGTGAAGACAGTGACTTGTCAGTGGGGATAGCTGGGATGCTAAACAAACACCAGCTAACCTCAGAGTGAATCTGTTTTTTGTTCAACAGAACTGTTTATACTAGAGAGGTTTTATTCCCCTTTGTTTGTATTGAGTTGTTTCCATCATGTGAATGCTCAAGTAAACATGATCTAATGTATCATCCTGAAAATCATTCTATGCTACTTACTTTAAAAACAAATACCATATGTCTGTTTATATTGTTTGAGGTAAGTGCTCACAACTGTCATCAGCAGTTGCCTCTGCATGATTCAGACTATGATGGAACTTCTGTGACAGTTTGTGCTTGTTCTGATTTATAATTCTGCAGTAAAGAAAACATTCATACTGTGGTCTGATTTGAAATGTAATTTAGTTACCTCTGAGAAAGCTGTTTTCTTAAAATATCACTTTTGCCTCTTCACCTCCACAGCAGACTCAGAGATTATCTTGGCTTGGTTGCTCAATATGTGTATACTGTAATAGCATAACTAGAGGCATTTATGCTCACCTTGCCTCTCTGCCCTCACTCTTTTGTAGTTGTGGTTATATATATTGCTGTAATTACAATATGCTAATTCTAATTTAAGAGTCTCATACTTGGAGGGAGTATTGAGGAATATCTCCTCATTAGTAAAATATTGAGGTCCTGTTCTGTTTCTGATGCAGTCACTTTGCACTATTTAGAAAAACAGAACCTGTGTTCCTTTGAATGGACATTTTCTTTACATTACTATGTGCCCTAATCATTAGAGGTAGATGATATATATTTAATATATAGGTACTTACTTTTGTACTGTATATTATTTAGTATACATACATATGTATA